CCTCAGAGGGATGCACTGATCTTGAGCCTGGAGGAGGTGACGCTTGAATATTAACCAGCTTTCTTGGACCCCTCTCCCTTCTACGGCCCTGCCCCACGAGATTCCCCTAAGTAGGTCCCTCAAGAGGCCAAAGTCAGCTCTCCTCAAGTCCAGCGTTGCAATCCTACTCATTGCCCTGCTCCCTCCTCGCAGGATCCTCAACTCCACCATCTCATGGTCACTGCAGCCAAGGCTGCCCCCAACCTTCACCTCTCCAACTAGACCTTCTTTGCTTGTTAGGACAAGGTCTAGCATTGCACCTCTCCTCGTTGGCGTCTCCACCACCTGGGTCAAGAAATTATCATCAGTGCTTTGCAGGAACCTCTTTGACTGTTTGTGCCTAGCTGTGCTGTCTTCCCAACAGGTGTCAGGGTGGTTGAAGGTTGAAATCTGGTGGTCTTGTAGAAAAACACACTCACGTAGATTAAAATTCTACTTTTTTCAATAAGATACATGAAAAACACTTCTAATAACATGTTGGAATAGCACATGCTTACATTTTTCTTTGTTGGTCTTCCTCTGTCCGACCTAGTCTTGTGCACGGACCTTGTGTCAGACGTAGTCTATGAATGCATATCTATTCATTGAAGGAGCCTTCATAAAACACTCATTTACGAACAGAGATATGATTACTTCAAGACAGCGCTGGCCTGCTGAGTCTCAGTTTCAGTGGTCAGTGTTTTCCCCCAGATGAGATTCTGGCATCTCAAGCTTTGCATGCACATAGGAACGGAGTGAGTTTTTAAAAGATAGCATTCAACTGCTATGAATTTGCCGTATTTGCATGACTGTGTAGATAAGAGCCTTCTGGAAAAACAATTCTCATTAGTTTTGAAAGCCTTGGCCTTTCTGAGTATTAAATGAAGACAGGTTCTCAGGTCTCTTTCATAGACTGCAGCTTTTGTGGCCTAATAAAATGCTGCATATCTTTGTACTAGGCTTTCACTGGTGAAAGAGCAGATATAGGAGTAGTTTGGGCACCCTTCTTTGTTTTAGGGGTGCTTTGGGTGGCCTTTGTTACTAGCCTCAGAGCTAATAGTTATCCACTGGAAAGCCAGCATCCATTTCTACTTCTCTCTGCCTTTTTTCTTATTTGAAGAATATAGTTTTGTTAGAATGGTTTGCTGAGTTGATTTCTTGGGGCTTATTTGCTGGTGATGGGAGGTGGTGTTTTATTATACAGTAATTTTCATTTTTTATGGTAGCTGTACAGGTGGATTTTGTCATTAATTGCTTTAGTTCCTTTTAAAATGCAGATAATGAATGTTCATTTATTCCCTACCTAGCATAGAAAACTGGGTAATTTTCAGTAAGTGGAATATCTAAAATATTAAGTGTTTTTTCAGTTCTGGTGAATCATTGTTCAACTGTTCATAGCAGTTATGTTAGCTACCAACCGAGGACAAACTTTTTTTCCTCTGTTTGTTACTTTAAGGCTAAAACTTTGAATTTATTACGTAATTTGTATAAGTGGTCCCTGTTGCTCACAGTGAATCATTTATCTATAGCATTAGGTTCCATCAGAAAATGTATTCCTTAGCAAGACTGAGCCCTAAATCCTAGGAATAGAAAGTAATCCGGTTCAAATAGTATCAATGAATAGTACTTTTTGACATAAGTATTTCAAAGCTTGTACAAACTGAATTAATGTTCCTCTAGGGTAGTTATATGAAAAGCTGATAACTTATTAATCTCTCTCTTCTCTTTCTCCCTTTCTCTTTTCCTCTCCCTTTCTCCCTTTCTCTCTCTCTCTCTTCCCTTCCCAAAAAATGCTTTTACAGAAACATAAGGTAGATCTTTTCTACAAACTGCGCCATGTGATGAATGAACTCATTGACCTACGTAGACAGCTGCTGTCAGGTCACTTGACACAAGATCAGGTGCGAGAGGTCAAGAGGCACCTCACAGTGAGGCTGGACTGGGGCAATGAGTAAGTAAAGGTACCAGCCCGGTACTGTTTGTTCTAATTATTTTAAAATAGCTTTTATTTTTAAAAAAGAGTTTTTTTTTCTTCCAGGAAAATTTGCAAGCAGGTAAAATATTTGCTTATTTGGAAATCAAATATAACTTTTTACAGTGAGTTTACTGCATGTCTCTTCTACTATTACTATAAAATAAACCATTTCATTATTAGTAGGGCTTTACTAGGGCCTAACTGCACTTTAAGTAGTTCTAGGTCAGCTTACTTAATTTGTATCAATGCAGTGATTAGGGATGGAAAGACATGTTCATAGATAATAAAAGGCCGTTATTCCAGTTGAAGTGTTTTAATGGTTGGTGAAATAACCATAGACTCTTCCTTGGTGGAATCTTGCAGTGCGGACTAACCAGACTGACATGCAGGAAATGATTTCTGTGTAGGAGCTGAAGCTGCAGTATTGAAATTTTGGGAATAAAAATCTATGTATTTGTCTGTTGTTTTCATTTCTCAGAGGTTTAGTTCCACCGTGCTCAGTTCTGTTGTGACTTATAGAGAGTTTTTAAAGAGCCAAAGAAGACAGCAATTCAGATAGAAGCTGAAATGGCAATAAATTTCCATTAAACAAAAATTAGCCCTTCTCCAGAACTAGTTCTTAGAAAACAACAAATTTAAAACAGGCTTTTTAGTTCTGAGTTATAGTGTATCAGACAGATAATTTATGCAAGACATGCAAATGACCTTTTCAAAGGAAATATCACCCTCAAGCGTATAGCAACTATTTTTCAGCTAGGAGTAGGATTAGTGTTAATTGACGTACAAGGGAAAAAAGTTCTTTAAGTTGCCAACTAAGGAAGAAAGTCAAATGCTTTTCACTGAGGAATGGAGTCATCACAGATATATTAGTCGCCTACTTCAGGACTCCCTCTGAGAGATGTACTTGATTGTATTCCTGTAGCTTTAGCTAGGCCCCTTGCTAAATTGAATTTCTCTGTTGAAAGAAAGGTCTGTAGGACATAAACTGATAGTTTACCTCGGGCCATTGTTCTACTGTGCAGTGTATGGATATTTTCCATTGTCATTTCCACTAGAGTAAATGGGAATGAAGAAACTATATTTGAACTTTATGCCTAGATGTTTTTGCTCAAAGACCGTATGCGTGAAATTAGCAACAGGAAGTTGCAAAAATATCATGAGAAAAAAAGGTGATGAGACTAAACAGCAATGCAGCAATGAGGGGAATAGACTGGTCAAATAGGTGACTATAGAAAGCTTTTTTTAATTTAAAACAAAATCATAAAATAAGAAATATATTAAAACTTTAAAAGCAAATCCAATGACTGACAACTATGTGAAGTATCAGTGAAATCAGTAGGTATAAATATGTTTGTGATTTAATTCCTCTGTTCAGGTTACCTGTAAACAAATGACAATTCTGTGTTTCTTACTATATAAGAATAGATATTTATCCTCCCTAGAGAAAAAGGTGCATAGTAAGAGATGCATGCTAAAACAAGAGAGAGTATTAATAAAGAAACTGCATAAAAAGAGTATGATCGAAGAGATATCTAATTGCACCTGTACCTTGTACCTGTACAGATATAACAATATTTAAATACAAGAAAAAGCTTGGGAATTTTGAAGGTCATTCTGTAATTTCACCCTTTTCAGAGAATTTTTAGGAGAATTCTTATCTCCTTTTATCTCCTCTCTGAGTTTTATTATGAAACTCATGACCATATGAGTTAATCTGTTAAGATGAAACGATTTCTATATGCACAAAACTAACATAGTAATGCAATTTCTCAAAGAATGTAATAATGTTCATTGCTACTGCTATCATCTTTGAGATCTGCAAATAAACAAAAATGTCATTAATAACATGCATTAATATTGAAAGAGAAACTTAAATACATACAATTGGAGCAGATCTGTAATTACTAAAGATAGTTAGGAGACTGGAGCGCCTCTCCTCTGAAGGAAGGCTGCGAGAGCTGGGCCTGTTGAGCCTGGAGAAGAGAAGACTGAGAGGTGATCTCATCAATGTGTACAAGCATCTGAAGGGGGGGGTGTCGAGAGGATGAGGCCAGTCTCTTCTCCGTGGTGCCCAGCGACAGGACAAGGGGCAACGGGCAGAAACTGAACCACAGGAAGTTCCGTCTGAACCTGAGGAAAAACTTCTTGACTGTGAGGGTGACGGAGCATTGGAACAGGTTGCCCAGTGAGGTAGTGGAGTCTCCTTCGCTGGAGATATTCAAAACCCGCCTGGATGCGATCCTGGGCAATATGCTCTAGGTGACCCTGCTTGAGCAGGGAGGTTGGACTAGATGATCTCCAGAGGTCCCTTCCAACCTCAACCATTCTGTGATTCTATGTAATGCAATCTAATAGGAGATATTCTATTACCAGGTAATTTTCAGAAAACAAGTAATCTAATACATCTAATATGTAGTACGTATGCTTATTTAGTGTAGAACTACTTTTATCCTGACCTTGATCGTTAATGCATTGGGTTTTTGGGAGAGACTGATGCAAACTTCCTGTCACCATCAGTAAGCAGGGTTTTTTTGTTTATTGAACTGGTACCACTTTCCTTTAAATGCCCTGGCAGAGGTTCTGACAGTTGTTGCTTGTGTTCTTGTGGAAGCTAGCAGAAATCCAAGGACAAATATACTCCCGAGGTAGAGATTTTTTTTGCGAAAGAACTTGTTTGGCCCATTTTCACAAGAACTACACTGAACTTATTTTGCTTGTGTTTTTGGGCTTAGTCTAAAATGTTAAGAAGTTCCACTTGGTAGTTTGGTTTATGAGAAATGTAAAAGCAATAATTCATTTTATAATTAATGCTACTAACTTTTCAAGTTATTTCTAGTCATTCTTAAAATGCAATGTTAAAATGCAGTGTTTTCCACTTATGGTAGAAAGTTAATTCTCTTTTGCTTATACATTCGTTTCTCCCAGTACAAAACTATGATCTTGGATACAAATTCCTTTTTGCAATGCTTTGTTACTTCTTCCAGTTACCCACGGTTAGCTTGTTTTCCTGTGTTTGCAGTAAGTAGTTGCAATATAGACTCCCAGCCACTCAAAAGAACAGAATTTACTACCTTTAGATAAGTGTCTTCATGCTTTTAGACTTCATTTTAAGCATCCTTCTATGTATTTTCACACAACTAAAATCTCAGATACAATTATTTTCTGCATATCTTGCCAGGTTTTACACAGAATATAACCAATACTTTTGTTTTTTTTAAAAACATTTCACTCTCTAGTTGTTAGAATATTGATCTACTGAAGTCTGAAATGCTATTGAAAGTGTCCAGTAGTCTATCAATTACGACCAAAATTTCTGTATCAGCAAACAAGCATTATGAAGGTGAAATCTGCAATTCAGCATCTTGTTTTAGATTGTGTTCTAAACAAAATAAAAAGTTCATTTTTAGAATAGTTATTAAGTTTTTAAATGAACAGGTAAGTTATTCAACTCTTACTAATGCTTACAGTGATAAGCCAGAATTAAACTCTTTTTACTAACAGTTTGTTTCATTCTTAAGAGTCTCTTGCATCAAAGACAAAGGAAGGAATCTGCCTTACAGAACTTCTATTTGAAACGTGAATTCTCTGCTGCTGCAGCAGTGCACAAGAATAGTTGCAGCAGCATATGCATACCATCTTTACCAAAAAGGAAGATGAAGTTTTCTTCACAGTAGTTGAACTTAAAAATCAGAGGTCATCTTAAGTTCAGGCTGGATTCTTTTGGGTTAATATACTATCTGCCAGGAGATTAACAGAATGAATCCAAGTTTCTGAGCACAATCAGTTTCCCCATTATGCTGAGGGAGGACGCTTCCTTTCCTGTGAGTGTGGTGTTCGTTGTATTTAGGCTGAGAAACAGAGTAGGGAAGGAAGAGCCACGATACTGTGAGGTTTGGGATAGATAAAAGACACAAAAAAGATGGGTTTGTAGGCTTATGTTACTTAGTAACATAACCTTAGTGAAAGGTTATTCTTTTCCAAGTAAAATGTATTAAAATTATTTGCATTGAAAAGAGGTCTTCCAAATATAATGGTAAATTGCTGTACTTTTTGCATAGAAAGGCCCATAGGTGGCCAAAAGTTGAAAATGAATATTTCAAATGGAGACAGAGAAATTATCTTTTACACCATTGTCTGAGTAAAATAAAACTGTTTTTGAAAGGCATGGTCTTCCTCTTATCTTAAAATGTAAAGGATAAGCCACTAGGCAGTGGCAATGCTAGAACTTACTACTAAAAAACGGATAAAGTTGTAGAGGGGATAGTATGAGCCAATGAACTGAGCATAGTGTTAGAAATGGAGAAGTCCTGAGTTTCAGTGCTGGCATCCTTAGCAGCTTATTTTTTGGATCTTGAGTGACTTGCCCTCTTGCTTGTCATATTTCTTTTGTACTATAACAGGCATAACAATTACTTTCTGGAAGTGTTACAACAATTAGCTTGCAGTTTGTTAAATGCCTTTGAAGCTGCTTAAGGGATAGTCTCATGGAGTTTAACCAGTTTTTTCTGTTCTGCAAGTCACCCTAACTCCTGAAAAGCATGTAAAGATAACATTTGTAATTTGAAGAGCTTCCTGTGTCTATATCAAAATAAATCTTTACTTGTCACCTGCGTCACACTGCAGGCTATGCATTCCTCAGTCACTGTTTTCAGTTACAGAAAGAAAAGGGGAAAATACTATCGAAAAAAAAACCCCAAACATTATTTCTCTTCTTCCTCCTCTTATGTTTATGAAGTCCTTGAAGTAAAAAGGTGTGGTTTAAAATTCCACAAGTTTACCTCACTTCCTAAAGAAATGAGACTAACGTGCTTGTATCATTTACAGTTCTGTTCTGTTTCCCATAGAGGTAGTGATCACAGTAAGGTTAAATTCCTGTCTCTTTCAAGAAAGTTGGCAGCTATGTAAAAATGAGATTCCCAAATTAGTTCCTCCAGTGAAAGAAAGGATACAGTATGGATTCAGCAGGTGTCTGTTCTGCCAAGCTTTTTTGCTAGGTAGTTAGCATGTGTGTGCCAGATGATCCATCAGGAAACTGCCAGGCAAAGCACATGCTGCTGCTCGGCCCTGCTGGTATTCAAAGGAGGCAGGAGGAGCTCAGAGCAGCATGCTGGAGCTTTGCAAATGCCTCCAAGTTTTCTTTCTGCATGCAACACAGCTCACTCTCTCGTTCTGCCCTCACTCCAAATGTTTGCCACTGGCTTTTTATATAAAATTTCATAATATTAACAGTTCCATTATATGCATATTTAGTTACCATTCTCACAACTAATGGCTCTCAGCACCATGAGCTTTTCACCGCTTCTCCAATGCGACTGAATATTTGACTGGTACAACGCAATTCTAGTAGTAGTAGTTATTCTAATAATAGCTCCAGGAGTTGGTTCATAATTTAGATAATTGGTTCACTCTATGTAACTGATTTATCCTCTGTATATCTGCGAGGTTCTGTGGTCTCTGCTTTTTATCAGCAGCTTAATACAGTAGCTTCGAATGATACTATCTGCTGCTGGTTAAATTTTGATAGTGTTGTGCTTTAGTAGAATTTGTCTTTTGTTCTTGAGATAGCTGTCAAAGATCTTGAGCTAAGTCTGGTTACTCGCACATTTGGGCTTTTAGTTTCCAGGCTGGGATTAAAACTTAACCAGGCTTTACAGCCCTTACCTCTCATTTCATCTTGATGCGTGAGATGGCTGAAGAGAAAATGATTTACAGAGTGCTTTATGTTTGGAAGTGCCTGTGAGAGCTAAAGAGATTCTTATAGTAATTGCCACTGTTGCAGCAAAGGTGATCAGGCTAGGAGTGAACAATTTAAACACCCATAATGAAACGCCTGTAAGAAGGTTGCTGAAAGAACAGTTGTCACTTTTTGTTTAAATATATAATAATTTTTTCCACTCTTCTTCAAGGGTAGATCTGCTTCTGGAAAACATGTTTTAGGCAAATGGCAGTATTTCTGCAAGATTCTTCTACTAAGAGTTGCTGTGACTGGTGTTTTATGAATTCTAAATAGTCTGGTGTTCATACTCTGAATATATGGAAAATATTAGGAATTCCCCCAATAAAGGAAAAGTAAATCTTTACTTCCAAAGACTAGCTGTTTGGGGGGGGGGGGGGGAGGAG